CGATGCAATGTGGAAGACATCAACACTTACGAGAAGTGTGTATGCAAGAACAACCGTACACCATTAATAGCCGTAGTGTGTTCGCCATTCAACTTCTATTAACAAAAATTCTCATTTTACGTTTGTTTGTCAGAACTCTTAATAACAAATCAGAGATCGACACGGCTTCACGCCAAGTCGCTCCTTCAACCCACAGCAACCTACGCTACTGTACAAAACACTCTATACAAACATCACTCCTACGGCGGCTTGAAAGACGAAGATCGCATTTTCACAAATCTATACTCAAAACATGATTTTAGACTAAAAGGAGCATTAAAAAGAGGAGATTGGTATAAAACCAAAGAGATATTACTGAAAGGACATGAATGGATATTACAAGAAATAAAAACTTCCGGATTGAGAGGACGAGGTGGTGCAGGGTTTCCGACGGGACTGAAGTGGAGTTTTATGAATAAACCACCAGATGGCAGGTATGTTGGAAATGAGAGAATTGTGTATAAAGAGATAAACTGTTTTGTATTTAAAAAATTGCTCTATATATATCGTATGTTTTGTTATAGGCCAAGATACCTCGTCGTCAATGCGGACGAGGGAGAACCTGGAACATGCAAAGATCGAGAAATCATGCGCGGCGACCCCCATAAACTTGTCGAAGGATGCTTGATCGCAGGGCGTGCAATGAACGCAAATGCAGGTAGATACACCATCCTGCAATCATGTTGTATGCAGTTTAATGCTAAACACCTTCTCATAATCTCCTCCTCTTACGCTCAGCTTATATATATGTCAGAGGCGAATTCTATAACGAAGCGTCCAACCTTCAAGAGGCTATAAACGAAGCATACGCAGCCGGTCTCATTGGCAAGAATGCATGCGGTTCTGGTTATGACTTTGATGTCTACGTTCACCGCGGTGCTGGAGCGTATATTTGTGGAGAAGAAACTGCTTTGATCGAGTCGCTCGAGGGTAAGCAGGGTAAACCACGGTTAAAGCCTCCATTCCCTGCAGACGTCGGTCTGTTTGGATGTCCGACTACTGTAGCGAACGTTGAAACCGTTGCAGTCGCTCCAATTATCTGTCGACGGTAAGTAGGAAATATAAAGGACAATCAAGATTTTCTGCTAAACATCACAGGTTAATTTATGCATTTGTTGTAGTGGTGGTTCATGGTTTGCCAGTTTTGGGCGAGAAAAGAATAGCGGCACGAAATTGTACTGTATATCTGGGCATGTGAATTATCCTACTACAGTCGAGGGTAAATAAGCAGCCATTTTTTACGGTTCATTTATCTGGGTTGTTGTTCACAAGTTCATCTTACTATGTTCTAATTCCAGAGGAGATGAGTATCCCACTGAAAGAACTCATCGAGAGACACTGTGGTGGCGTCCGCGGTGGCTGGGATAATCTTTTAGGCGTTATACCTGGCGGATCGTCGGTACCTGTTCTTCCTAAACACATTTGTGATGATGTTTTGTAAGTATTAAACTAGTTGTTTACGCATTCCTCATCTATCGTATCAAGTCAGTAATGATCATAAGGAATAAGTAATTCACATTTTTTCACATAATCAGAATGGACTTTGATGCACTTCGCGATGTCCAGTCTGGCCTTGGTACTGCCGCAGTTATCGTGATGGATAAGTCAACGGATATTGTTGCGGCCATTTCTAGACTGTCAGCCTTCTATAAACACGAAAGTTGTGGTCAATGCACTCCATGTCGGGAAGGAACGACATGGTTGATGAATATGATGAAGCGTTTTGAACGGGGATATGCAGCGTCAAGAGAAATCGACATGATTGAGGAATTAACCAAACAAATCGAAGGGCACACCATTTGCGGTGAGATAGCAGTTTCTCGAATATATAAATGCTTTTTTTTCTTCTTCACGAGCTTATATGTTCAAGGTGCTTACTTGATTCACGCGAAATTATCTAGCTCTTGGTGATGCTGCTGCTTGGCCTATTCAAGGATTGATTCGTCATTTTCGTCCCGAGCTAGAAGCACGCATCAAGGCGTACTGGGAAACTCACCCGAAAGAAGACATATCCAAACTTGCAACAGCTTCACCTGGCTTATAGCATACAGTTTGTCCCAAGCAAACGTAACAAGCGTGTTATCTGATCAACACGGTCCGGGTTATATATTACGTGTACGAAAACTGCTCTATTTATATTTCACGTCATCTTTCATGAGATGAAACCATATTCTGCCGTAATTTGTGAAAGGAGAATTTAATACTGATATTTCCTCCTTTGTAAAGAATGTTAGAAAATAAAAAAAGCGTGCGGCGAACTATCCAGTTGTAATCTACATAAAAATATTTATATTATCTCGTTGAATCGCGTGGTCCAGCCACTTGCGACCGCGAGGACTATTGTGTGCGTGCAAAGTAAAGTCATTCATCAGTATAAACAACTTCTTTCATCACAATAGTAGTTCTGTTCTGTCAGGAATATTCAAAAATGGCAATTGACCCAATTCACGATAACATCACGTAAATTAAAATGATGCCCTACAACCCAGGAGATCATTTCCTTCGAGGCATGGGATATTCTGGCAGAGACTCAACGGCAATACGGATGCTCAACAGGTTCAACAGCAGCCGGAAATGCTATATTTGCTGAACAAGAAGAAACGCATATTCGCTGAGAAGAACAAGGTTATGTCCAACGTCTATTCATCGAACTTTGTTGGAATCGTTAATGAAAAGTATCTTTTATATGGTCTGATATCGCCATATTCTGGGGTTTTTTAAATATGGTCTGGGTGAAAAAGGCCAGAGAATTCTCTTTGACCGTTCGCGATTTTCTCGATTATCAGCTGATTATAGTAATATGTTTACAATTCATATAAATGTTCTTATTATTATAGGACTAGTTTGATTAAGCGAATGCTTTAATGTAATAAATAAATACATAAATAACGAGCGAATGTGTCAGCAACCGCTTTTTTTAAAACAAAATATTAATATCTTATTGATAGATTTTATTAAACTGGCCACCTTTATTGGTTGTTCTTGCTGTAATCCTGATTCAGATGTATATTTGTTTTATAGTCAGCGGTTTGATTCTGATTCCGTTGCTTGTGCAGCGCTTTCTCTTTTGAGTTCTTTTATCATGGCCTGCGATAATTTTCAGAGCATAAAATTAATCATATTAATATTAAAGAGCATTGAGAACAGCCAAAGAACTCACAGCAAGAGCTTCTGGATTGACCCCATTCTCACATAAGGAGATACAGAGAGATAATGTTTCTCTATCCAGGTTTGTATTCAACATCGTGGCAATTTCATGTAGTACTTAAGCATATGCAAGATTAGAATCGTGTGCATCTCTAGTACATGCATAGAGCTATAAAATTTATAGTGCGCCTACTATTCATAACCTCTCGGGCTTCTTTTATTTTGGGATCTTCCATTTTTGCGC